CGGTCGACTCTGAGGATCCCCGGTAGGTCACTTTGTATATTCGCTTTTTTGCACATATCCTCACAAGCTCTCAGTACCTCATTCTGGACCGTTTGGCGTGCGCGTGGGCTCGTTCGGATAGCCCCAAACTCCCTGAAAACGGACCACCAAACCGTTTGTGAAATGGTTGAGGCCTCGTGGAGGTAGGTCACTTTGTATATTCGCTTTTTTGCACATATGCTCACAAGCTCCAGTGCCTTATTCTGGTCCGTTTGGCATGCACATGGGCTCGTTTGGATACCCCCAAACTCCATGAAAATGGTCCACAAAACCGCTTTCAAAATGGTTAAGGCCTTGTGGAGGTAAGTCACTTTGTATATTCGCTTTTTTGCACATATGCTCACAAGCTCCAGTACCTTAATCTGGTCCATTTGGCATGCACATGGGCTCGTTTGGATACCCCCAGACTCCCTGAAAACGGTCCACCAAACCGTCTGTGAAATGGTTGAGGCCTCATGGAGGTAAGTCAAATTGTATATTTGCCTTTTTGAATTTATGCTCACAATTGCTCAGCACCTTAATCTCATCTGTTTGGCATGCATGTGGGCTTGTTCGGATACTCCCAAACTCCCTGAATATGATCAACAAAACTGTTTATGAAAAGGTTGAGGCCTTGGTTGATTGTTATACATTGAATATAAAGAAATATAATTGAATGGGGTTGATAATACTGTGGAAATGTTGAGGAAGCTTGCAAGAACAGGGCTAGCAAATAATTTGAGTAAAGAGAGAGCAGAGGCATCACTATTCATATGCTTAGGGTGCTAAAAGCAAGTGTTAAGCAATGATTTGGTAGATTTGACTAGAAAATACAATGAGGAGGATGAGGCGTTCAACTGTGGGAAGAAATCATTTTCGTGGGAGAAAGTCAAATTTCAGCGTTACCGCGCTGAAAAAAGTCTCGAGATCCCAGGTAATAAACGAGTCTCTTCGTAAACTCAGAGGACTCGTAATCAAGACAAAGTTCTAATTTAAAGTTGAGAATATACAGCCAAAACAAGTTCCTGATCTTGATAGTATCTAAGATCATTATTGCTTTTATCATCTAGCTGCCCATCTTCTATACACTTATTTTTGGTGGTTATCCCATTATGGAACCAAACTTTACCTTCATATGAAAAAACTCTAGAGGTGAAATGATTATCCCCATGGTATATGATCCCTCTCAGGCTCAGTAAAACTTCTTCTCCATTTACTACAAACTTTAC